CTAAAATACAAGTTATTTATTCAGTGTAAGACCATCTTAAGAAAGGTGTAAAGTGTTAAAGGAATAGTTCACCCCAAAAAAAAAAAATTCGTTACATCCTTGTGTTGTTTCAAACTTAAATATTCAAACATTAAAGGAGATGTTTAGCACCATATGTATCATACAAATACCATATAACGGTCATAATATTAGTATTCTGAAGCCATGTGATGCTTTGCATATAGTTGTTCACTGAAATATTCCAATGAAGTCATAAATGTAAGGAGTCTGATCATTCTGTCCTGTCAATCATAAGCAGAAGCAGGTGAACCCATGAAATTTCACTGAAGTTTGGGATTTGAGCGGAGTGTTGTAAATATTCATGCATGATTGCTGATTACGTGATTTAGTTTGTGAGTTTCGGTTAAGTTCTGCTAGAACGGGAGCGTCTGAATAATTCCCCTGCTGTCTCAAGGTGCACATTTGGGAAAGAGACTGACAAGACCCCCTTTCCGAAACAAACACGAGCGCATGCATATGTATAGTAGCTGCAGAGAGACACCTCCTCCTGCTGAATAATGCATCTGTGTCCGTCCCGCTGTGGGATTCTGCAGGGAGAATGCGCTCGTGTATTGTTGCTTGAGTTTGCGATGATATTTGACTTTGCAGGTCTCCTCCAGGGCTCCTGCAGGTGAGGATGTAGATCACCATCATCCATGCACGCTGTGAAAAGTGGCAAGTTGCAACTATTACGGTACCGTCCATTCTAACCCTTATATTGCATTTTGTTGATGTAACCTAATGTATTTAGGTTGATTCACTGATGTTAAAAATATGTTCTACCAGGGCTATAACATCATTTTGTCATTATAGGTATTTCTGCATTTGTCAAACTGGAGCTTCTCAAGCTACAAGTTACTAATAATTTAATGCAAAAGCTACAGTCATGCTAGGCATCTTATTAGCTGCAATACAAGCTACTAATAAAAAAAGTAGCTAACAACATTGACTGTTTAAGGGGATGATTTTCTGACAATAAAAAATGAAGATCTTAATTGGTGTAGCATCAATAGTATTAACTTACGGAACATTATACACAACTGTACACTAAATACAACTAATATAACATTTGAAGTAAAAAAAAAGTCATTAAAAGAGGCATCTATATTTAGTGATTTTAAAGCACTTCACTAACTCAGAACCCTGGTGAACAGCACTTTGTGATGTTTTCTAGCAGGTATACTGTAATGAAGTCAGTTGATGGATGGTAACTTTATGGCGTGTTTCAGATATATTTATACTGGTGCTGCTCAGTACATCATTCTGAATAGACAAGGCCTCTAGCAGTAACTCACACATCACCATCATCCATGCACGCTGTGAAAAGTGGCAAGTTGCAACTATTACGGTACCGTCCATTCTAACCCTTATATTGCATTTTGTTGATGTAACCTAATGTATTTAGGTTGATTCACTGATGTTAAAAATATGTTCTACCAGGGCTATAACATCATTTTGTCATTATTGTAGCTTTCAGCAGTTTTATTGAATAATCCACTCGATTATTGAAAAAGACAATCAGAAAAGACAACAGCTTTACAAAAACATGCACAGACAACAACCGTCAACTCAAGATAAAAACACAGGGCAATATATACACAGGGTTAAACTAGACAAAGGTGAACTCAATTGGTAACTGTACAAACAAACCAGGGCATGTTAGTAACCAACGGAATTGAGGAAACAGGAAACATGAACACAAATATCATGAAACCAAATAAACTTTACAAAAAGTGTATTTAGAAATAATTTACACAAACAAGATTATAACTGGGGACATGTTCCCCCACTTTTAGAAGAGTTTGTTCTCATACCATACCTCCACTATTGACATCATTCTTAGCTCTTTCCCCGCCAAACACAGAATTTTCCATTATCATTCATGGACAACACTTCCCCGCCAAACATGGAATTTTCAGTGTTTCCGTGTTTTCACTGTTATACACTCAGTGGCGCTATTACGCATCTCCTGAATGAGTCTAGAATGTCCCGATCAAAAACACAGGCAAGGAAGACACAGAAACGAGTGATCTCATATGTAAGTGTATAAATATGAAAAAATAATGCGATCATCAACAACAAACAGCATATAAATGAAAACTGCCTAATGTTACTGAGTGAAATGTGGATCCAGGAAGAGGTAAAGGACTGTGCAAGCTTTAGGGGTGTTGATGGAAGCAATCTACTGCATCTTTGCTTTGATAATAGTACTGAATATGATCCAGATATAGTATTTGATTTTTAAAAAATGCGATTTTCTCAGGTTTTTGCTCAAAATGTTGCTTTTTTATGAAACTTACCTACATGCAAGTGTTGATAAAAAAGAATGCTTGAAGCTAGAATAAAACAAATTGTTTTGTGTAAAAGTAGAGGCTCTCTTCTTTATTTTGATGCTTATCTTATTTCTCTTATTTATTTTGCCCATGTTCATACGACAAAATATTCTGGGGGCCATGACGTTTTTGTGAAAATCACCAAAAATGCTGGCAGTGGATGGCAACTTTTTTTCAAAAACGCTGGCGGGGAAAGAGTTAAGGCACAGTCACAGTTGCGAAATTTCACAGGTGAAGAAAGTGGAAAGTGCTTGAACCCAGTGTGCATTTGTACATAATTGGCTGAGCAGACACCATTACAATAAGTGTCTCATCCACTGTCAATAGTACACAGGCACTGTGATTTTGGTGATGGCCTTGAATACAATGTAAACAATCTGAGAAATACTGCAACACAAACTTAAAGAATGGATTAGTGTTGTGGACGACGATGATGATGTGATGTTTACTTGAATTGCTGGCTGGCTGAGAGGACAAGGAGCTCCGTCTTGACTAAGGGAGTATAATAGTAGAGGACCAAGCACTAAACCCTGTGGTACCCCGTTAGTTTAGACCTTATTCCTCTAGGTCTCAAACCAGTGCAGTGCAGTTTCTGTAGTGTCCAGTTCAGAGAATGTAGACAGGAGGAGTTTTGAAGGCAATGGACAGTTCCAGCAGACTGAGGACGGATGTCCCCTCTGCTAACCACAGCATTTCAGAATCAAACTGAAAATACTGAGAGCAGTGCTGCTTGACTGCCTTCCTCTTGTCCTTGACTCAACTAAGAAAAGCAGAGAAAAAAAGACAAGGTGGAGGAAGAATGCCACTGCAGTGACACTCTGGGTCTGTTTATTCAAGGATCACATGAGTGTAGTTGTGCTAGTTAGTTCTCTTTGCACGAACTGTGTCCCAGTTTGGATGCTTGAATTAGTTTTATATATTGACCTATAACAGCCTTAAAGTATATAATTGGAATTAGGAGAAAGTGAAAATAAAGTGATCCCAAAGAACTTTGTATTCATTAAGCACATTATACTCTATATAAACCTTGCTGCATGAGCTGAAGACATCTGAGATGGTTTGGGGTGTTCACATACAAACCAAAATCCTCACAAACTACTCTGAAACAATCATCCAGTCTGACAGAAACTATGAGTTTTTGGATTGTTTATATGGAAAGGTAAGAAATATAAACCTGTCAGTGGAGAGATGTGTGATTTCATCATCTCAGCTGCATGGATGTTCTCTACACTCACACATTCTCCATCAACACAGTGCTGGACTTGACAGAAACGGCAAAGACCGCAGAAGCTTTGCTGTGTATTAAATCAATGGAAGCATTAAGACGCTAACATCTTCACTTTTAACAGTTAGTAGTCATCGCAGCCCAATCCTGGCTGGCGTCCCGTCCAGTAAAGGACATCAAAATGCCACACTGTTCTCCTCCAAACAATGCTGATCTCTGGCTGTCCAGTTCAGGTGTAGTTTCACGTGGGCTATTTGAAAGCATTATATCTGAAAAGTTTCCCACTGCACACCAAACTCAACCACTAAATTAACACACAATCTAACACACAATGCTGGACATTATCGAGACTGAACATCAGGGCTTTTCAAACTTTCAAAAGTTGTTTCAGACAAATATTTATTGTGTAAGGCAATATACAAATGAATGTGAATAATTTATGTCAGAACACGCACAGCTACTCTAGGGATAAATTTGTATTGTTTTATTATACTTTTCTATTTTTAATGCATATAATTTAAAGCTGTAGTTTTGTACTTTCACTGAAGTATGTTTTTGGTTATGTACTTGGGCTTTTAATTGAGTAAAGGTTTCGCTCATGTAGTTTTTCGAATATTTCTACACCGCTGCTCATAGTGCAGGTCAGCTTAGAGAAACATCTAGAGGTTTCTGTGGTACAGGACTGTTGGAAATATCACCGCACTGGGAAAATCAATGCTTATGGTCAATTCTAATTATGCTTGTAGTTTTACATTAAGAAAGAGATCTTGAATGTGCAGTGCTAACCTTTAAATAACTGGACCTCAGTTCTGCACCAAATAAATGAAGGCACTTGGGAAATAAGGGAATTAGATTTTTCTTTATTGCATTTTCCCTTGGTGTGGATGGATCAAACACAGGCTCAGTGTTTTGTGAGTGTAGAGGAGATAACGTTCACTGTACGATTGCGAATGGTCCATGCTGTCAGAAACATCAGGCAGATCTGCATATCGCACATTAGGGATTGCTCCTGATGAATCCTCCACTGAAATAAACAAGCTCATCCAATCTATATTCATATTTACTGTCTAACCATCAGACGAGCCGCTTACACAGAGAAAGTACAAAGAAAAACAGGCTTGACATGTAAGATCAAATGTTTGTTTTTGCTCTCTCAGCAGACTGAGTCTCCATTCAGTTCTACAGCATTCACTCTTTAATGCTGGAGATCATATGATGTGTTTCACTGTTAACCCATTTAATCCCACCAGTCACGACAGTGACCGGAAAGAAGGGTTTCATTTATAAAGCTCTAAAAATCTTACTGACTGGTGTTTTAGTGCATTTCCTGCAAATATGGAAAGAAATAAAGGGTTGTAACAGTCACCACTGTTTCTTTTGTAGTCCCCTCCCTGGCACTAGGGGGAGTTGGGGAAGGTAACTATTCTAGCTCACCCTTTATAAGGAAGTGAGTAAGAGGGTAGCCAGGTGCTTTGGCAGGGCTAGGAGCTCACCTTTGTTCAAGCCATTGTATGAGCCCTATTTTGAGGAACATCATTGTTCTTTCAGCTCAATGTAAGTGATGTTTTTGGTTTTTGTTGGATGAAGTGTGTATATGTATATGTAATGTTTCGTGTTTGGTCTGATTATTTAATTTTGTTTGTATACAGAGGGTTTTCTTTTGTGGGTGTATGGGCTGGGCCAACTATCAACCATGAGGTTGAAAAGAGTAAGGACTATTTCATCCTGATTAATCGTTTGGACTGAGTTTTCTTGGGATATACCTTGATGCTTGTTCTGGAATGGGAAATGGATGCTTAATATGGACATTAATCACTGTGATCTTCAACAACAATGTTCATCTGTGATTTTCTACTCCTTTAAGGAGAGTGTTTAAGGTAGTGTGGTTTCATGTCTGTATGTGATCAGGTGCAATGGTGTATTTTTCTATGTTTCTTTTGTTTTATATTGTACTGGGGTTAAAAAGAAAAAACTTTAAAATATAGTTGGTGGATGATCCCCCTCAGATTTTGTGTGACTCTGGTTGTTTTATTATAGCTGGTGTTACAGGGTCTCAATTAAATATGTGCAGTGTTACATGGTACACTGATTCTTGGTACATGTTATCTTTAAGGTGTCTAGTATTGATACATGAATTTACAATTATTCTGTTTTGTTGAGTGTGGTCACAGAATGATTGAACATGTTGATGGTCACAATAGTGACCGGACAAGTGTTTGTTCACTGCAATATATTTTGGTCATCCCATTGAAAATAGCATTCAAACTGGATCATTTAGGAGCTTTAAAGTGCTGGAAACAGTTGTGTGAAATGCTTGTAAGTCATTAAAAATTGCTTGAATATCTCTCTCAAAAGGTTGTACAAACCCTGAAATGAATAATGTAATAACATTCAACTATTTAAAATTTGATTTTAAAGGGCTACTGATAACATATGATTTGGATATTTTCATGTCTGGGAAAAATTTGTGATTCAATTAATACTAATTACCATTAGGATTGACACAACATCTACTTTTTTCAGGATATTTTATCAGGGTTCAAATCCAGTCCAAAGGAGCCACTGTGTGAAAAGTGTGAAAGAATAAAAAAAAAAATTAATAATAATAATTAAACATAATATTATATTTTGTTGTTATTTTCTTTACTATTTTTGCTACTATTTTGCACTATTTGCACTATTTTAATGTGACCATGAAAAAAAAAGTGACCTAAAAGTGCCAGCATCAAAAATTAGTTAAAACATATTTAGTTCATGTGAAAAAATCAAGCGCATAGTGTTATTTCTGGCAGGTCACGTGAGTCAAGCTTGCATCGGCTGACTCTCAGCTGATCCACATCTATCTGTCCTACAGTTTTACAAAGAATATGAATGTGCTAATGAACTCAGGAGAAAATTGTTCAGGGGAAAATTAAACATAATGATAAATGGTAATGGAACAGATAACAGGGCAGTGTGTTTTAGGGATGCTTTTACGAACCAAATGAAAAACAGGCCTTTGTGTCGCACATCATATATGCAGACATGATTTGAAACAACAAAGACGTCATCTGACATTATCAGAAGACAATTATTAAAGCGTGTGCAATGCCTCATGGGGAATAAGTGAGAAAATAACTCTCTCATTAATGAAGGCAAACAATGACATGCCTGAGCAATCACACTGTTAGTGCATTACAGAGCTGTTGAGTTCAGACACATAATCATCATCATCATCATCATCAGTCAACATGGCTTGACTCTGTGTGCAGAGATCAGGATGAAAAGATCAGATCTGTGTCATCTGTATTATCTGTTGACCTTTGCTTTGTTTAACATAATGCTGAAGATGGCATAAAGAGCTTAAGTGAGGACACAACTGTATTTGACCACACACTCTTAAAAATAAAGGTTCTTTATTGGCATCAATGGTTCCACAAAGAACCTTTACCATCCACCGAATCTTTTCATTCCACAAAAGGTTCTTTATAGTGGAAAAAGGTTATTTAGGTTATTAAAATGTTCTTCACATTAAGAAAAAATGGTTATTTTAAGTGAAAGGTTCTTTGGGAAACCAAAACTGGTTCTTCTTTGGCATCGCTATGAAAACCCCCTTTTTGAATCTTTATTTTTAAGAGTGCAGTGTGAATGTGAAAGGCATCTGGAAGTCTTTCTTTGAGTTTTCTCTGCCTGTCTAACCTGATTGGATCTGCCTCTCACCCTCGCAGCGACTGTGTGAAAGGCCTCAGTGAGACGCGTGAAGGCAGATCTCAAGCCCGTGTTCTGCTCCTGACACCTTTCTCTCAGGTGTTGGGACAAAGATCTGGTCTGGCGTGACCTCAATCCTCACTGCTGTCTGCGAGGACGTCTGCCAGAGTCTCCACACTGATCACAGCGGTCTGCCGTTCTGTGCTGTCACACCTCTGGATCACCTGCTGGAAAGAAGTACACTTTAGAATAGTTTAAAAACAGTACTATTACAGAACTAATATAATTTAAAAGAATATACGTAGGTGAGCACTAAAGGTTATGTTTTCAGACACTTGATTGCATGTTAATTGCAATTAAAGAAAAATGTATTATAGTTTAAGTTGATATTAAATGCAATTAGTTGAACTTTAAAGTGAATTTTGACCCACTTAAGCAGGACTTCAGTACATCTTTATATGTAATTTCATAATTACTTCTATTGTTCCTTTTTTTAAATGTGGTATTTCTGAATGTGCTGACGGTCATTTATAATGAACTAATATATAACAAATATATTTGTAATATTTAAAGATATTTGTAGTGATGACATTGCAATTTAGTGCAATTAAAATATTTGAACTTTCAATGTAATATCAAATAGCATACTACAGTTAAATATGTAATCAAGTTAAAAATGTATGTTAGTCAATACATCAAAATAAGTGGACTTTTTTTAAGCACAAAAGAAGATTATTCACTTAATGTATTTTAAAGTATTGTTTTATTTAAAGGGGTCATATGACGTTGCTAAAAAGAACATTATTTTGTGTTTGGTGTAATGAAATGTGTTTATTCAGCATGCGCGACGAAGGGGAAACAGGGGAACTGAATTCACCGGAACACTGCCATTGTAGTCTACTCTCCAAGGAAACGGTCCTCGTCCTCCGTAAAATGTGCTGCACACACCTGAATATTTGGGTTGAACTGTTCTGGAACAGTGTTGTAAATACAACTTAACCACTGATTTCTTTTGGAAGGCCAAAAAAATTAGTTTCGCTTTCACAACGAAACACACAGCGTCTTCACGACATGACGGCGGCGGCAACAATACTACAGCGAGAATCAAAGTTACGCCTTCTTTCTTTGCGTGAACATTTGGGCAGTGTTATGCAAATCTTCCCACACAGTGACGTAGACATGTGGGGGGCATGTTAGAATGAGCTGTTTTAGGTAGGTGTGGACGAGTCTTAACTTTTGTAAAGAATATCTCTTTGGGTTTGAGACTTTAGTTTTTGCAACTTTAGAGATCTTATCTATTCACGAACAGCTTGTAACACTCCAAAGAGAAAGGAAAACTTGAAATCGCATCATATGACCCCTTTAAGTCATTGCATGACACAGCAGATGATAAGAGCTCCTATTGTCTGTTTTTATTTAAAGGAGACATATTATGCCCCTTTTTACAATATGTAATATAAGTCTCTGGAGCTGTTTTAGGTAGGTGTGGACGAGTCTTAACTTTTGTAAAGAATATCTCTTTGGGTTTGAGACTTTAGTTTTTGCAACTTTAGAGATCTTATCTATTCACGAACAGCTTGTAACACTCCAAAGAGAAAGGAAAACTTGAAATCGCATCATATGACCCCTTTAAGTCATTGCGCAAATGCAGAACTTTCCAGTTTTAGTTCTCAATCTGATCAAGTGTTTGCATATCCTATTGAACAGATTAGAAAAGATTGAAACCAGCCCTTACAATTTCAATCGGACTTGGCCAATTCATTCCGACTGGTGTGCTTACCTGTGACTTTTTTTTATTTTTTACATTCGGACTGGTTCTACTAGTTCAATTAAACATAGCTACTATTTGAAGTCCACTCTAGTTTTAAACAAATTACACTTAATCTGTTATACTTAATCTTTCTGGCTTAGATTAAAACTCATTTAACAATACAATCCATTGCATGAAGTTAGAAATAAGGTTAGGGTAAGGGGATAGAAAATACAGCGTGTACAGTAGAAAAACCATTATGCCTATGGAATGAACCCGTAATGATAGGAATACCAGTGTGTGTGTGTGTGTGTGTGTGTTTCTGAATATTTGCTGGAGTTTTATTGTGTGACTGTGATCAGTCAGTGGTAGTAAAGCCTTATCCCTGCTGCCCAGTAATGTCTTTAATGGGGCTCTAAAGAGACGTTATGTCAGCATCATAAGACTGGAACAAATAGAACACAGAGCAAAACAACACAAAACATTCTTCATCAATATTCCTTCTCTGCTCCTGCTGTCAGTCACACAGAGTCATCCAGCAAACATTTCTCCTCCAGCGCTATCATACACACAGCTGTGAGGTGTGATGCTGTCAACCGATATATTGACAAGGCCGATATATCGGCTGATATTTGGCATTTTTTAATTATAGGCATCAGCCAAGAATTTGCAAGATTCTGTGTACTGTTTTTTGTTCCAATAAGTAATATCTCTGTCTTATTCAAATTTAATATGAGAAAATTATTGGTCGTCCAATCTTTTACAACTTTAACACAGATGAAGTTTCATCTGGTCTTGTTGAAATGTATAGTTGAGTATCATCAGCATAACAATGTTAACTAATCCTGTGTTTCCTAACAATATCACCAAGGGGCAACATGTCTATTGAAAATAGCGAAGGGCCTTAGACAGATCCTTGTGGCACTCCATACTTTACACACAATCACACACACACACATTGCATCCCATCAGGTCACTGCAGTGTCTCAGGTTCAGATCTCTCAGGACAGCTGTTAGAGTCTGACTCTTTGTTTTAATGTTTTGTTGCTCCGCTGCTTCACTGTGATGTTGTTTCAGAGTTACTGGACTGTTAGCGTGTCTGGCTGTGGCCTCAGCA